CAACTCTGACGGTTGGATAGGATTCTGTGGGTCAATCACCCGCAAGTCCGAAAAGCAATTGATTCGAGAAACGAATACAGGAGTAACGAATAACACGATGTGCGAGCACGTTGATTCATAATCGGCGGTTTCGGGTTCGATTCTTCACCCCACATATGCTTCGATTTTAATGAAGAAAAACAGTCAACAAAGAAATAGAAACAATAGGAAAGAGCTGGGCAGAAATAAAAATCGATTGCCCCTAATAGAATAAAATTTCAGATCTGCATACATTTATTTCTTGTTCAAAGAGTATTCTTATTTTACGCATAAAATTTGTAATGCTTTTTACATGTTTATTCATCTAAAACAGATAATTTGTTATTTATTATTACTAAACATGAATAGATTAACTCATTGTTATGAAAGCGAAATAAACTATAATTAAGTAAATCTATCTCTCGCGCACGAGTTGATAAAACTTACCAATGTAAATTGTGTCGCAACAGATCAAGAAAAAATTTTGACATATTACTTTCCGGATTTTATAAAAGTTTGTAAAAATTGCATTATCTGAAACAAATTAAATTGGTATTAAATATCAATTATTGTTACTATTAGTTCAGAATAAAAAAATATAACGCGACACATTTATTTATTTTTAGTAATTAGAAAATATTCATAATAAATAACTTAAATAAATATATTAAACATTTTTGATAATAAAATGTTAGAATAAATCTTTATATTTAGATTTAAATAATATAATAAATTTACCTGAATCAAATCATCCTCGAAATAGACATTATTATAATAATAGGAGTTACTGTTACTTCCAGATGCGTCCTGATTTCTCTGTGAAATTAAATCGATAAATTTTTCATTCAGTAAATACAACAAAATATATAATATGATATTTATATTACAAAGAGGATATATTTATAGGAAAATTAATATGGCATACCTTGGCATTATTTTATCCAAATTTTTTAATATATGATAATAAACGATTTTTAGCGTGCTTTTCGATAGTGAGAAGAACATTAAACAAACGATCATTGATTGGTAATTCTTTAATCATTCATGATGTTATTGGATCATCAAATATTTCATTTCTTGTTACATTCAAATAAACGTTGATGATATTAGCAGAATAAGATAAATATTCTAAACGTTTATAAACAGATCTTTCCAATGACATATGTCACTCACTGACGATCAAGTATCAGATAAATTTTCTTTGACAAGTCGTTACAAAATGTCCATTTTGTCTACCACGGTAATAGTCTGCCAAAGAAATGTTGTGCATGTCTTAATCATTTTATATTATTTATACATATAATGAAAAATATTTTTTCTTTAAGTATGTGTATTATTATACCTATAAAAAACAAGTCTCTGGTATGCGATATTATCACGGTAAAACCCTGGTATTGCGACGTGATCGATTTTTGTGAGTTCATCATAAAACTTCCATTTCGATTCTACATGCATGATGATATCTTCAATAATCTTTGCAAATTGTAATTACGACGTCAATCCTCTTCTGTACCAAATTTTTATTTCTTCTACATGAATGACATCGTAAAACAATCAAGATTAGATAACAATTCCAACAAGATAAGTTGGCATAGTTGCAATTTTATCAAATTTCATACACTTTAAAGTACGGTTGTAAATTCGTATATTTATCACTGGCGTATTTGCAATAGCGTCATATGTATTTGAATAAAAACTGTTACGAAGACACGAAGAAATGTTAAACGTCGATTTATAAATAGGTTCGTCCCAACATGGAAGTAATTGTCTGGCTCCTATTGGATGGAAATATGTCGCAACCAACCACCGACCAAATGTGTCGCAACCTACCTGTCATATTTTAATAATAATTATGCTATTTAATAAAAATTACTTTCTTTCGAGCAGAGAAAAAGGAAAGTAATCATTTCCCGCAATTTTTTAGGTGCTTCGAATACGAACACTTTTATACTAAATTGCTATATTTCGTTACAATTTAAAGAAGTTTTCAAAAGTTGCAAAATAGATACATTTTAGGTATATTTTAAAATCAATATTTTTTAACTATAATTGATACAATCTTTTCAAAGCGGGGATTCTCAATGTGTGATATTAATATTTACTTACGTTCTGTTCTTTCCTTTTTCGTTTAAATTATATAAAGTCTTGAACAAGACTTCTGTATGCAAAATCTTATATTTCGTTTGTAAAACACAATTAGTTTAAATACTATTATAACCTTTTTAAGGATGATTGATCATAAACCAATAACCTGACGTACATACATCTTGCATAATTTAAATTTTTACTATTGGATTGAGAAAGAGTCCCAGTTGCCTACAAATTTATTGCCAACAGTATCGTATTTCAACATCACATTTACTGACAATTCATTTGCGCAAAAATTGCTGCCTACAGACTTTATTGCACACAATTGAAAAATTAAAAGACGAAAGTACATTTGCACACAAGACACTATATACATATAATTGCAAGTAGCATTGCACACACGACATTATTGGCTACAGATCGATTGCCTATAGTACTGTTACACACATTAAGGCTCCTTTGGTATCATATGACATATATGTATACCTTTGGTATCATTGACATATATACATACGAAATGTGAGGTCGAGAAGCGATAGATTAACTTTTTTATAAGTTCCATATATAATTATATATAATTATATGCAAATTATGTCTATATCGCGCGACGCCAAGTATATAAAAGTCGGGTGAATATCTGTGAGTATATGGCACTGTCGAAGCGCTACCGCTTAGCTTTATCTGGAAGTTTTGCCTCGTCAGATTTCCGATTTTTAATATCTCGGAAACGAAAGTTCTAATAAAAAATCTAATGACACTTTCATTATATAATGTCGATACGAGGCTTTCGATTGAGACCAGTCCGAATGAAATCGATGCAGTCAATCTCGAGATCTCGAAATCGAGTCTTACGAAAATCTAGGAAAACGTCATTTCGGCGATTCCAGACTTTTTCAACTCAGTAATTTCTCATGTCCGCCAAGGCGCGTTCACAACGCCCAAAGTGAGTGGCTGTTCGTCAAGATGGCGCGTTTTTATGTGAGGTTACACGTGCAGTTCGAAAACATAACGTGTTCTTATGTATCATTATTTCATCCTTGTTGTTTATGAATAAAAATAATAACGCGATATCTTTTATAACAAATTGTTTATCTTCTTCTACTGCCCGAAACTGACCTATCACCGAACAGCGGTGACGGCCATGACGTAGCTTATGCCGCCGTCACCGCACGCTGCTAGCCTATATCCTCTTCTACGGTCATAAGCGGTGCTGTAGTGGACACATCGGTTGGGACACTTTTTTTTATTTGATTTCGGAACGCACTATTATTTTGCAAATGCGAACCACGATAGGTATATTGTTTCTAGACTAAAGATAATATACCAATCGTGGTTTGCATTTGCAAAATAATAGTGCGTTCCGAAATCAAATAAAAAAAGTGTTGCAACCAATATGTCCACGACTGTACGCCGGATAGAATCCCTGGTTACAGCATTGTTGGCAGTACTGTTGGCAGCACTAGTTGACAGCTGTTAGATTCGTAATTCGTAAAGACGACAAGCAAGACACGCAAGTTTGTGTTTCTTTCTAACAGCTTTTACAGCTTTTTTATCGCTGCTTCTTGTAACGTAAGTG